ACATTTCTAATGTTTATAGTTTTCTTCTGTAGAATCTTCTGGCTGTTTAGCTGTTTTTTTTTGTAGTTGCACACATAGTTATATACATTTATATGTTTGTCCTTGTATATAGAATATTCATTTAAATCAGGACAATCTTCCTCTCATATAAGATAATTAATTACTCAATCCCTCCCGCCTTTACATTTTCTGTACACCGTAAAAGAAAATACATTCTTCTAAAGAGGTATTTAGCTATGCTTGGGATTTTTACAGTTGATAGGATATGGGTGTGAGCTTTATTCCTTGATATTACTTTCCAAGTACAAAATAATGTGTTTCCATCTGTGCAACTCAACCGGGTGTGTTTGGAAGTTGGTTTGCAAGTTTTCAACATCATCAAACTTTAAAAACCATCAAGGCTAATCTAAGAAGTGAAGTATTAATAATGCTTGGGAAAAGGTTTTTGGAACCTAGTTATTAACTACTGGTTGAGATTTATTATAATAACTGTTTAGGCCTGCTATTTATAAGATGTTGTTGTTGTTAATTATTGAGATCATAGCTGCCTACAATTAACTTTATAAAGATGTGTGAACTAGAATTAAGTTATTCATTAGCATTTTGACTTTGCAAATGTTTCAACCCATAGACATAACAATATCACTCTAAGGAATTGTGTTTTGAGAGACTTTTTTGAAAAATGAACTTTCTTATAGATTTTAAAAAATAAGATTATAGAGTAAAAATAATAAGATGAACCTAGTAGTTAAAGTATACAAACTAGCTGCAAGTAGGAAGCAATTTTCTTGCCCTTCATACAGAAATGGGCAGTCTTTTTGTTTCAGAACCTACAACTCATCCCATCCCGATTAGATATAAGAAAATATTCAGTGATGCAATAAAATCAAAAGACAGTGGGAAGTAGTTGGGATTAAGGCATGGATGTCTGAGTTCTACCTCCCAGAATCTTTATATGTCCTTTTCCACCCTCAGCCTCAAAGCTGAAATTTGCTAGGAAGTCATCTGTCAGGCACCCTCTTCTCTGAGACAAGCACAATAAAATTAAGAACAAAATTCGGCCATGTGCTTGGAGAGTTTGTCCAAGTGAGAAGCTGGTAGGAGCTTTTGTGAACAGCAAAATAACAACCCTGAGGCTCACAGAGAGCTTCCATGAAGAGGATGCTTTATGTCAGGGATCTTCAAATTTGGCTCTTTTATGACTTGTGGACTTGAAGTCCCAGAATTCCTCAGCCAGTGTGCCTGGCTGAAGAATTCTGGGAGTTGAAGTCCACGAGTCATAAAAGGCCCAAGTTTGAAGACCCCTGCTTTATGTAAACTCTGCTACAATGAAGTTTTTTCAACACTGGTTCTTCTCAACTATATTTGGAGTAGGTTGTGTTTAGAACAAGTTAAAAGCAACACAACCTTATCTATTGTACCATTTTCCACCTGTTTTTCCTGGCACTCATTTCTGTTTTGCTCTCCCTTTTCTCTGATTTGTGCCTATGTCATTTCTGTCAAGTTTGGTTTGGGTAGCTTTTGGATCAGTTGTTCCTTGAGAAAAAAATATACATTTTCACATTTTGTTTCTCCTGGCTACAGCAGTTGAGTTTTATTTCCTTAGAGACTGTAAGAGATTTAAAGTGATTTTTGAGCCACCCAGAAAGAAAAGCCTACCTGTAAATTGAATGCTAACTGACATTTAAGCCTCATAAAATAGACTTTGCATGAAACAGGCTTTTCATTGGCTTCTTTACTCTGTATTCTGTATTTGTAATGGAAGGAATACAGATTAATCAGGTACTGGCAGAAAGAATATCTTGTGCTGCAGAAGCGAGCATAGCTGTTGCTAGATGATTTGTGAAAAATGTTAGTGTGAATAGTTTGATTGTTTTGCCCAGCACATTTATGTTTACAAATAGGAGCCAGGATTTTCAGAATTGAAAAGTAGCCAAGATTTCAAACAGCTGCCCAGCCCTGCACTGAAGAACTTGAGAGTTATAAAATATGAACTTTCTGCTGATTTGTAAAACACGCTTTCAGCTCTTTCACATATGTTATTTCCCCATATATCTTCAACATGGTTTTCTAAGGAAAGTGGAATGGACGTATTTTATTACCTTCTAGGATGCTCATATGATAGATATCATGATATCACATGATGTCATGTTAAAAAGAAACCTAGATCTCCAGATATGCTGCTTATGTGCACCATTGGGCCGATGGATACTTCCTTCAGAATCCAAGTTGGCATGCTGCAGAGTATTGACCTTCAGCATCACCATAGACATTTTCTGGAAATAGGAATGGTAACTGTCTGCACCTCAGTTTTTTGTTTATAACTGTGCCCACTGGCTCTCTAAAAGACGAAAGAAAATTGGAAGGGTAGGCGGTTTTTAGACTGTTGAAGGGGAGCAAAGAACAACATCCGTGGTTTGCCTGCTTGTTGATGGTGTTTTATGAATATTCCTAAAATCTCAAATGTGCCTCCCTAAATAGTTGAGCCCTTGGGATGCTTTATGTTGAGTTGTCAAGCTGAAAACAGATAGCTCAGCAAATTACATGCATTCTCAGTAAGCAGTTTAATATTAATTATATAACCAGTCATGTTTTGTTTATTTTTAATTTCAATCTCTTTGCTTCCTAAAATACCTCCCTGACTGATTGTATGCTTATCTTATGAGGGCTGTTGGTTTCTTGATGTAATAATGTCTTCTTTGTCCTCTTCCCTTCTTCCTTGTGGATATTTGCTCTTGCCTAAAAGATGTAATTTATTTTTGTCAATCTCACCTTTGAAGTAGCAACAATCTTCCATCTTAAATGAGGAAATGTAACAATATCAATTGTTAACCACAGGAAAACAGTGGTGCCCCTTTCTGTTGTTGCTACGGTCAATAACTCGACTGTAATAATTTGAAGTAGACTGTATAATTTTTCCCCACCCAGGAGGATCAAATTCCTGCTTATCCTGCTTAGTAAATAGTACCAATCCAGTTGAAATGAGGCACTTCACCTGAAGCTAGCAAAGAAAGTAAATCAATCCAAGTTTACTTGTAGTTTACTTCAATCCAAAGAGAAACCTTATTAAACAATCCCTTTGAATGTGGCAAAAATGGTCCATGTTTGTACAGTGTGCCTTTAAACTTTACCCAGAGTTGGATATATAGAATCATGAAATTAAAAGGATGCTCAAAGGTCACTGAGCTTAACCTTTTACTGGAGCAAGAAATCCATTATGATTACATCTCAGGCTGAGGACTCTGTAATATTAACTCCATCTCACTCAAGTAATGGCAATTTTGGCAAATATTTTTAAGACTACTGTATTCTTTGTTCTTTGTCTATTCCGTAGCTTTTCAAATCCTTTTCTGTGATGAGATTTTCCTTAAAGAACATACCACACAACTCTAGCCAGTTTGTCTGCAGTTTTCAAGAGGTTTAACAGGACTTTCTTTGGAATGAGACAAACACAGGGTGGTGTGCTTTCTTGGCTAGCTTGGGGCAAAGTGCTTTGTTTCAACTGGATTTGTACTGTTTACTAGTTGGACAAATGGATCCATGATTGCAGCTGGACACTGCACAAGAAGAGGTCAGTCCGATGGCCTCCAATGATTATAGTTAGCTAGTCTAAGAAATAAAGATTCAGGTTTTTCACAAGTGCACGAATCTCCACATTCTTTTTTGCTGAATAGTATTTGTCATTTGAATCATGACTCTGCTTGAACGGAGGCCAGAGGAAAAACACAAGCCTGACTCGATGGGAGACAGCCTGGGAATCTGAGCTTTACAGCCTTGAAGTATCTGGAGAAAAAATGAGATGTAAATGAAAAGAAAGAAATTTAAGAATCAGAATCTCACTTCATTGAATGTAAAATAACAACAACAACAAAAAAAAGCCAGTAGTATAACAACAGTGACTCTTACAAGAGCATGGGACTTAGAGATTTATTTTAATATAATTCAGAGTCAAGAAACAAATACAATATAATTGAAATAAAGCTTTTGAAGTTCCATATAACTTTTTTGAATTTTTCACAGCAGCTTATCAATATTGACAAACTGATAGTGACCAAATTATTCTGTGTATTTGACAATCCAGAATGCCAGCTGGATGATTCATTAACAATATGGATAGCTTCACATTTTTGAAGCTGCTCTCTTCTAGATTGAACATATGAATTACAGAACACAGCATTAATTGATCTTCTGGCAGAGGGAGGCTTCAGTAAAATAGAAACATGAACCGGATGAAAAGAAAATATTTGTCAACAATGTACTACATATATGTAGCTATATATTATTGGGATATATATTAGGAACTATACAAGAACTATAAATAGAACAAAACAGAATAACAGAGTTGGAAGGGACCTTGGATGTCTTCTACTCCAACTCCCTGCTCAGGTAGGAAACCCTATATATCAATCCAGATAAGGGGCTGTCCAGTCTCTTGTTAAAAGCCTCCAGTGATGGACCATCCACAATTTCTGAAGGCAAGCCATTCCACTGGTTAATTGTTCTCACTGTTAAGAGATTTCTCCTTAGTTTTAGGTCGCTTCTCTCCTTGATTAGTAAAACAAAACTTCATTATCTTATTATTTGAAATAACAAACTTCACCTTGGACTCCTTTCCTACTATATAAAATTCAACTCCCAGAATTCTCAGAACACCAGCAAAAAAAAGCTCTTGATTAAGAGTTTTGGAAGTTGAAGATATTATTTTACATTTGGATTATGGAAGTACGGACATATAAAGGGTTTTTTCTTTTTTCTTTTCAGAAGATTAGAATGAAAATTGGGGATTGGAAATTGCAAAATAAGGGATTGCTGCTTTCTTATCACGCACAAAAAGAACCATATGACATTATGGTGTGATTGTAGCACTGGCAAATATTTCCAAGAAATGTTTCAGAGAAACATTTAAAAACTTCAGGCTAAGTTGGAGAAAGCATAAGTTTAGATAACCCACATTTCTGATTTTAATCTGTGATCTATTTTTTTCTCCTTTTCTTTTGCAGGAAATCCAAGGGAAAACCAAATGGTAAAAAGCCTGCAACAGAAGAAAAGAAACTATATCTTGAACCAGAATATACAAAGTCCAGGATTACTGACTTTGAATTCAAAGAATTAGTTATATTACCACGTGAAATAGATCTTAATGAGTGGCTAGCTAGCAACAGTAAGTATTATGAAATTTGTAACAACTGAACATTGCGCTGGTTGTCTTTCATAATCAAAGATGTTCCTAAGTAAAGGAGTAGATAAAAGCAAGCTGTTAATGGTCAGGAAAAGGGAAATAATCTGCATTCAGTTTGATGTTTATAAAAAAAAAATACTGTATTCAGAGTTTTGAAACAAAATCTTTTGGATTTGGCTCATTTGCTTCAGTGCTGGGGGATGACATAGGTTGTCATGTTTCCATGGATTATTTTCAGCTCATAGATCTCAAGGATACGGACAAGAGAGAGCCACCACTTGCTTGCCAATGTTTGTCTTCCCTATCCCACCCTCCTCCAGCAGATTAAATCAGCTGCTTTTGGACTGGACCCATGAAAAAATGAAAATGCTCAATATCTTCTTCCATGTGAGATGTGTTCTTCTCCACTTTCAGAGGTGGTTCTTAGACTGACCAAAATCTGGCAACCCTTCCCCTAACACCTTCAGATTATACCACTTTCACAAGAAACAAGCCTCTTCCCCCATCCAAAAGCATGAGAAAATTAAGAAGAGTCTCGCTTCCTGGGAGCTAGTTGGAAAAGGACCTTTCTGAAATCCAAGCTTGGATGTCTGCTTGGATTTCGAGAGCGATCCTTTTCAGCCTTTCCTTTGAGAGTGAAAGAGCTGCTTTGCAAAGCGTCTATGGAGATTCTCAATCATCCAGGTCATGGTTGTCCCAAAGGTGCTTTAAAAAAGCAACTGAATTTTCTTAGTTTTTTTCCTTGGAAATATTTCGCTTCTTATCCAAGAAGCTTCTTTTTGAACTGAAGAATGCGAGGAGCCTTCCACTAGCTGGTGAGAGCAGCACGGGTGGGAGCCTGTTTGTACATGTGTAAATAAATCTTGTGATGTGTGGGGGGGAGGGTAGTAGTGTGTGGAGAGAGGGCAGCTGGGGGTTTTGCCGGGGATGCTTGGCGAGGACAATGGGAAGTGCCTGGTCCCTGGTCTTGGTTTTGGAGATGAGGTTGCCATGGGAGTGGAGGAGCATCAGGGAGAGGTATTGTGCGAGACCAGGAGTGGGCCATTCAATGGGAACACAGAATAATTGTCTTATACTAGTTTCATATTCCAGCTCTTAATGTCTATCAGTTATGTGTACTCCCGAAACAGCACATATAGTATTATACCTCTGGCCCGCAAGCTTCATTGGCTTCTGAGTTCAATTCAAGGTGCTGCGCCCACCCCAGCTCCAGCAATGCAAAAAAAGTTGCGATATGTCACAATACATCACGTGACACGGCGAGTTTGACACCTGTGATGTAGAGTAATGATGGAAACTTTGGTGTTCTTTTGTCTTTCAGCAACAACGTTCTTCCACCATATTAATTTACAGTATAGTACCATCTCCGAATTCTGTACAGGAGAGTCATGTCAGACTATGGCAGTATGCAATACGTAAGTCATAGTCTTTTTGTTGTATTTTGATGGCATGAATGTTCCTTCTTTTCCAATTGAGGGATGAAAAACAATTGTCTCTCTGAGGCTGTTTTTGAAAGCAATACATTCATTCTTCAGAGTGTTAAAAATGCATTACTTTATCATTACTCTTGAAAGAAGAAAATGCTGTTAACTCAGAATTCATATGGAAAAGGTAATGCAAATAGCATTGTCACTGGACTTCAGATAGTGTTAATAAAAGGTAAATCTACCTAGCAGGCATTTAAATTTGCAGGTGGATATTTCACTATTTCCATCTACCCTTCTAGTTTGGTGTTCCTAAGGACAGATATACTGGTAATAAATATGGGGTGGTGTTCCAAAAATGTTTCAAAACATATTAACATTTTAAAAAGAGATCAATCAGTTCAGAAGACTAAAATGGAACTTCCTGTTATGTGACATTTCATTTGGATTCAAAAGATTAGAATACTCAGGAATGACATCCACATTTCCAGCATGGGAGGGGCAGAGCACAACAGCATAGAAAATTTCTTACCTGAATCAGCCTACATTATTTTTTCCCTCTTATTATGATCCTTGTAGTCACTTTCTCTCACTGAAAAAATATTTTCATGTCCTACCCATTTTAGCCTATCCTTCATTCTGTGGAGGTTTGTTTGTTTGTTGTTTGCATTTGGTTGCAGTTCTGTATTCATATAAACTTTCTTCATATATCAATTCAAACTTCAGTCAGCCTCTTGACTTAGCTGTTTGTTGATTTCAACATTCATACTAATGATCTTTCTGACTCAGTTGTTTACTATTTCCTCTTCCTGCCTGCTTCAGTTTTCAGATATACTCTTCTATATATTGGTTTAGGCACTGTTTTGATCTAGTTTTCATTAATAACTACTCTATATCCTTACTATAGAACTACTTCTTTTAAACCATAATTTTTAAATTACTTGCTACTTGATTCAGGCCATACATTGGTTCAGTGAGGTTTTTGAGAGTACTGCCTATTGCACTTTCTATGGGCTAGGGCTGAGCAGTCTCTCTTTTGGAATATAACTCAATCCCATAAAGTAACTTTTTACTTATTGTATTCACTAAGGGTCACTAAAAACCTGTAAAAATCATAATTTTACTTATTCCTGTAAATACTAATTCCCCAACATTTCCATTTCTTATGTCATAGTTAAAAAATGAATCACTTTTTCATTGCAAAGCATTGAATTATTGAAGTCATATACGGCAATTTCACAGAGTTCTATACCATGTATAGATTATTTTTAAAAAATTTGGTCAGAGGACAACAATATTTACAAATCCTATTTTGAGACCCCTTCACTTCATAAACATAAGTAGTTAAATCAAAGGATATAGGCAGTTACCATTCTTGTCCAAAAATCCATACCTAACTTTAAAAATAGATTATAAACAACAACAACAACAACAACAACAACAATAATAATAATAATAATAATACTGACTACTGGAGAGACCAAACTGGCCTACAAGAAAGACCAAATGAAGAACAGAATAGAGGCATGGGAAGACAAAGCACTACATGGCCAATACATTAAAAAAAATAGCTGGGAAAGCAGATAATAACAAGACCTGGCAATGGCTAAGAGCAGGAAAATTGAAGAAAGAGACCGAGGGACTAATTCTGGCTACACAAGACCAAGCCTTAAGGACAAATTCATATAAAGTCAAAATTGAGAAGACAGCAACAGACAGTAAGTGCTGCCTATGCAAAGAAGCTGAAGAAACAGTGGACCACCTGGTAAGCTGTCGCAAGAAGATCACACAGACTGACTACAAGCAGCAGCATGACAAAGTAGCAACAATGGTGCATTGGAAGATCTGCAAAAAATATCATTTGCCTGTAAGCAAAAACTGGTGGGATCATAAAATAGAGAAAGTCATAGAAAATGATAAAATTAAACTGCTCTGGGAATTCAGAATTCAAACAGACAAGCACATGCAACATAACACCCCAGACTTAACAATTGTCGATAAGAAAGACAAAAAAGTCTGGATAGTGGACGTGGCAGTGCCTGGAGACAGCAGAATAGACGAGAAAGAAATGGAGAAGATAACAAAATACAAAGACCTACAAATAGAAATAGAAAGACTGTGGCAAAAGCAAGCAAGGTTAGTACCAATAGTCATAGGCTCCTTGGGTGCAATCCCAAAACCACTGGAACACCACTTGAACACCATTGGCATTGACAAATTCGCTATTAGTCAATTGCAAAAGGCGGCCTTACTAGGAACTGCTTCCATCCTGCAACAATATCTGTAATACCATCAAACATCCACATCTGCCTATCCCAGGTCCTTGGTAAGGACTCGATAGGTAGACAAAATGCCAAATCCAGTCTGAACATCTGGCTGACTGTGCGATGATCCATAATAATAATAGAATTGGAAGGGATCTTGGAAGTCTTCTAGTCAAACCTCCTTCTCAGGCAGAAAACTCTAAACCATTTCAGACAAATGGTTGTCCAGTCTCTCCTTAAAAACTTCCAGTGTTGGAGCATTCACAATTTCCAAAGGTACTTTGTTCCACTGATTAATTGTTCTCACTGTCAGGAAATTTCTCCTTAGTTCTAGGTTAGTTCTCTCTTTGATTAGTTTCCATCCATTGTCCTGCCTTCAGGTGCTTTGGAGAATAGCTTGACTCCCTCTTCTTTGTGGCAGCCCCTGAGATATTGGAACACTGCTATCATGTCACTCCTAGTCCTTCACTTCATTAAGCTAGACATACCCAATTCCAGCAACCGTTCTTTATATATTTTAGCCTCCAGTTCCCTAATCCTCTTTGTTGCTCTTCTCTGTACTCTTTCTAGAGTCTCAACATCTTTTTTACATTGTGATAACCAAAACTGGAAGCAGTATTCCAAGTGTGGCCTTACCAAGGTGTTATAAAAGTGGTATTAACACTTCACGTGATCTTGATTCTATCCCTCTGTTAATGCAGCCTAGCACTCTGTTGGAGTAGAATTGATCATTTAGTACAATTAACATAAAATGATAAAAAATTAACTGTTCTTTTAAATTAGTCATAAAACTCCCAAACAAATCACAATTTAGGTTCAATATTGGATTTCAGTCCCATAGTTTTCAGTTGTGTAGCTTCAGAATACTTCTTGAGGTTGAAAATATCTAGTCAAAATAATCTGCTCTAAAAACAAAATCTTGATTTTTTTACCTAAATGTATGAAGGCAAATTTTGGGTGGAGTTGAAAGAACCTGAAATAATTACCACTTAGATAATAAAGATATCTTGAAAGCAATAATACTCCAAAGTACAAAATCTTAATTCCACTCCAAGTTCTGACTTTTTTTTTTTTGGAGCCATTTGATGACTAACACATAATTCTTTTTATTTACCTACATAAATAGTTAATAATTTTAATTTCCAAATGGGTAAATTGCTTTTAAAATTTTGGGTTCATACAATTTATTATCACTCTAGCATTTAATCCCATATTAAAACATCAAAACATAAACATTTTGAATAATTAAGCTTTCTTGAATTGATAGGCAAAAGTTATGGTTAAAGCTATACATTTACAAAAAGATTAATAAAATGCTCCTTTCCATTAATCTTCAAATATTTAATTACTTGCACTAAAAACTCCATTCTAAACAATAATGGTGAAAGTGGCCAACTGTTGTTGATACTTCTATTTATTGTAAAATATTCAGTACTTTAGCCAGAGATTTACTTTATAATTGTTACTTTATTTGTTTATTGGTTTTATAAATTGCTGAAATCACTCTAGTTCTTAAGTGGCATACATCTATAAACCAGATTAAAAGCAAACATATACAATAAAAATAAAAACATATTCAAGACCCCTTCAAACCCTTAATATTTGAGTCATATACTGCATGTAAGGCAGACAGATACAAAAATAGAACAAATAAAAATAAACAAAGGGTGCATCACTTAATAGACCATCATAGATTACTGTTTTAATTAATTTAAACAAATAAGGCTATTGGAGTTAATCAAATAGTTCAAAAATATTTAATGTTAAAATGGGTTTTACAGCATTTCCCATGCAAACTACAGTTAAATATTCTTCTAACTGCACTAGCTATTTCTTTACTTTTATTACAGGTAGCCAAATAAATTAAACAAAATAAGTGGCATGATTATTAACCAGCAACAGAAATAGTGTGGTGTTATTTTCATAGAAGTCTGCAGTCATCAAGCAAAATATATATAACACTTAAGAGAACATGCTTAAATTCTGTCTGCATGAATCTCCTTTTTGTTTAGGTTCAGCAGTCTTTCTATGAGTTTTTGCTCATTGCTTAATAAATAACATTCTGTGCAACTAGAGATATCTTTGTAACACAAATTAAGTACTACCGTGTTTCCCTGAAAATAAAACCCTGCCTTATTATTTATTTATTTATTTATTTTGCCTCCAAAAGAGGCACCAGGTCTTATTTTTTGGGGGGGTGTCTTTAGCACCAACAGCCCCGCCCAGCCGTCCCACTTCTTCTGCGGCCGAAGGAGCAGCTTCATTCTGCAGCTGAGAATGGAGCTCCGGCCTGCATTTCACAGTCAGAGGCCTTCCAGAAAGGCCTCTGACTGTGAAATTGAGGCCGGAGCTCCATTGTCAGTTGCAGAATGAAGCTGCTCCTTCAGCCGCAGAAGAATTGGGGCGGGGCGGCAAGGCGAGGCAAGTGTCGATCCATGGGAGGCCTGGCTGCAGTGGTAAACTCCACACCCACCCCAACCCTGCCCTAGCTTGATTTTTAGGCATGTGCCTCACCCCAAAACTAGAGGTTATTTTTGGGGTAGGGCTTATATTAGGCCCACCTCTAAAAATCAAGCTATGGCTTATTTTCAAAGTAGGTCTTACTTTCAGGGAAACACGGTATTAGAACAATAGCTGTGTGTCTGTTGGGTCTGTCACTGGCTGACCTTTCCATATTTGTTCTATGGTAGAATAATAAAAAATCATATGGCAGGAATGTTTGTTTCTGTGTGTCTGTTTAGCTCAGCGGTTCTCAACCTATGGGTCGCGACCCCATTTGGGGTCGATCGACCTCTTTTGTGGGGTCGCCAAACGCGGCGATCCGCCATTTTGTCGGCTCCGGGGGCGCACCGCGCCTCCGGGGGGCGGTGCCGCGCACGCGCGCTGCGCGTGGGGGCGGAGGCGCGCCTCCGGGGGGCGGCACCATGCATGCGCGCCGCGCGTGGGGCGGTGGCGCGCCTCTGGGGGGCACCGCCGCGCATGCGTGCCGCACATGGGGGTGGCGCCGTGCCTCCTGGGGGCGGCGCCGCGCGTGCGTGCCGTGTGCGGCGGCCCGCCCCCATGCGCGTCGCGTGCGGGGGGGCACTGCGCATGCGTGCCACGCACGGGGGGGCCACCCCCATGCGTGCCGCGCACGGGGGCCCCACCCCCATGCGCGCCACGCATGCACATAACGTTTGTGTGACGGGGGTCGCCGTCACACAAACGTTGAGAACCGCTGGTTTAGCTGTTACTACACTGTACTAGGAAGCTTCTCTATAGACGGTTCTTTCTTAAGGATATGCCTGTCTTTAAGACTATCACTCCATTTTATTCCAGTTTTTGTGGCTAGCTTGTTTATTGTGAATAGAGACTTAAGACTTGCCAATCTGAGCAGCAGTTTTGAGATTGCCTAGAGATAGATGTCAAAGTTTAATGTTTAACCTCTTCTTTTGTTTCTTTGCTAAAATGGGCACTTCCCCTATTGATTGTATGAAGCAAGATTTTCCTGTTGCTACTGTTTTCTCTTTGGCCTTTGATCCTTTTAAAAACTTTCATATGGAATGTATTTTCTTCAGCTCATGACTGTTTAAAAGTACATAAAACACAACTTAAATCCTCTTTTGAGTACTATGAAAACATCTCATAGTCTAACCCTGTTTCTGAAAATGGTTGCGTGCAAGGTACCATTTTTGTGCTCTGAGCCAATGTTTGTTAACATATACTCACAGAAAACAGTTTGTTTGTACACAAAGGAATCCTTTACAAAATGAGGGTAGTAGGCTTAAGCCTAAGTTTTATAAAGATATAAAATGTCAGTTTCATCTTTTTCTACACAGAAAAGCTTCTCCCCCCCTCTATTTATCAAAGATAGAGATATGTAAAATAAATTATGCTGGGTCAGAGAGAGCACCAGAACACCTAGAAAAGCAGACCAACCAAAGTACAGAGGCCTCTCACTTGTATTCTAAAACATTCAGAAAGAAAAAGCCTTTCAGAAGGTTAGGAAGTGTTTGGATCCTAGACAGTATTTGGAGGAAGTGGGTTTTTTAAAAAATAAAATAAATATCATCAAGAGTCAAATTCTTCTTGTCTAACCAGAATGAGAGTTGTTGTTGTTGTCATTTAGATAGAAACATTTTGAAGTCAGGTTAGACTCCATGGACAGAATATCTGAAACTGACAAAATTTCATTAGTGATAGTACAGACTGGTAATTGATGTTGCTTCATGCAATAAGTTTCTCACTAAACAATGGTAAAAATAGTAACAGTATAAATTGGCTGTTTTCAGCTTGGTACTCTCCAATTAGAATTATTACTATACATTTTTCTAGCCAGAATTGCCCATTAATGGTCTTCCTGGCTGGGAGATACAAGATAACATATCAAGATTAGGCTGGGGTCAAAATTAGGCTGGCTGAAGTTAATTGAATATCAAAATTGATGATAAACCTCACAATGAATGGAGTTGTGTAGCTTATTCCTTGAATATGAAGGACATTAAATTTAAAATCCCATTTATACAGTTTAATTTTTTTCTAGGAGCTTAGGTCATTGTTCATAGCACTCCATCTTCTATGATTTTTGTCTCCACAAGAACCACCTCTGGGACAGGTGGGACTGAGCGCAAAGACACTCAGTGAGCTTCCATGGCTGGCTTGCAACAGGGGCGTCAAGTTCAACTTCTTAACCACCGCCCTGCTCTGACTCTGCAAATAATAATACACCTATGACAATTAAGTATGTGTCATATATTTTCCCTCAACAGTGTAAGACTTCATTGAATATTAAGTTAATTATAAATGCTGGTACTAGACTTAGACATGTGCTGGCTCCATTGAAAATTCACTAATTCAGTCTGAAGCCCCATGAATAAAATGCATCTTTACATGTAATATGCATTCCTTTTAAAAATGTTGTGGAAAGAGTACAGAATCTTTATTCATATAGTTGTGGTGAAAATATCTCCTTTGAAGGAATTTTTTGAATTGAGGTGATACATCTCAGAAATGTTCGAATTCCCCTCCCAGTAACATTATCAGTGTTTATCACCACCACGGACTGCTATTTATACTTAACAATGTAGTTTTGTTTAAGACTAGTTGAAGAAGTATGCTAGCTACTGTATGGGATTTATTATGATAAAGTTATCTGTTATTGTGCTGCCACCTCCTGACAGCTCATGTTACTATACAAATCCGCTTCATTTGCACTTATCAGCCTGTTTTTGAAAATCAGAATCCGACAGTTTAAAATTCTGCATCGAGTTATTCACTCTTATATTTTACTTTTATGTTCCATTAATAAACACAAATGTGCATTTGAATAGGGAAAGCTATACTCAGAGTAAAATTAATTCAATAGAATATATGTGTATTTTTAAATATAGTTCATTTTTAAATTGGAATCTTTGTAAATTGTTGCCTGTAACTACAATAATCCATTTCATGGGATGGAGACCTTAGCATCATACATTTCATCAACTAGACAAAATTTATGTTTATTTTATGAAAAAGTAACATTGTCTTTCCACTTGACTCCAATGTGCAAATACGTTTAAATCCATGACATATGTAATAAAAATTGTGTCAAGAATTAAGTGGGGATATTAAAACCTTTAAATCAAGATTTCTAGGAACTATTTGTAAACTCTTTGCTTAATTTAAAATGAACCTGGAACTATAGATAGCAAATATTCCTAATCACTAACTTTGAAAACAAAATAAGGCCGTTGCATTTTCAAGGGGTTTTTTTATTAAAAAAAAATCTTAATTGTTTCCTTAAAACCTGAGAGTGAAGTGGATCCATATGTACATAGTAAATCTTCAAAATGTTTCTTCTGTGATGTACTGGTTTATGAATGCTACATTGCTGAAGGCTTATGTCACCTCACCTAAAACAGCATCCTAAAGTGTGACTTGTGCCTTTCAAGTGTTTCTGTAGCTGAAACATAGGATAAAGCTTATATAGTAGATTCTCCCATCTGTAGGATCTGCTTTTTGAAGTAGACCAAGAGCTGTTGTATGCTGTCATAGAACTGCTTGATAATAAAAAAGGGGCAGTTGCTGAAACTTTATTCCTGATCTAAGCACTACAGCACTATTCCTCTCACTAATTTCTAGTTTCACAAACTTCATTCTGAAATTACAATGGAGTGCTTAAGCTCTAATAACAGTATTCTAAAACCTTAATTGGAATTTTTAGCTGCTCAGCTAAGACAGTATTGTTTGTTTTTCAGTGGACTTGAGATGAGCTATTTTTTCAGGTTGAGAGCTGCACTTGGGCTTTGGGTGGTGTGCTTTAGGCAGTGTGTAAAGAGATTGTATTTTGGTTAATTTTTAAATCCCCCAATCCTTTGCTGACTTCTTTCAGTGATAGCTTAGGAGGCAAAGGGAACCACAAATGATAGTCATGGGAGCCTCATGTGTTGGGTTGTAGCTTATGTGATAACTTATCAGAACAGATATTACCATACTAACCATTCTCTTCACAGACAATACTACTGGTATGATGAGCGAGGAAAGAAGATCAAATGTACAGCCCCTCAATATGTTGACTTTGTCATGAGTTCAGTGCAGAAGTTAGTGACGGATGAGGATGTATTTCCTACCAAATATGGTATGTTTATTCTCAGAAAAAAACCTAATTTAGCCAGATCTTTATGGCTTTGGCATATAAAAAGTTTATATTGATCAACGTATGTGTCTTACAGTTCATTCATTGGTGTTTGATCCAATTTAAATTAAATGAACTTAAAACAAATCATATCTCATTCCATTCATGCACATTACTACAACTCCTTTTATATTAGCTACTTCTAGTTCAGCAAAAGACTTGGCCAAAAGTGTTTTCCATCTAAAATCTGTAATCATGGTTTGGGGTTGAAATAATCACCTTCTCTAAAATGAGCAAATCACACTTTTTGAGCACAGAAAATCTTGTCTATGTATCTAATAGAATTGAATGAAGAAAAATATAGTGCAGTAGCCGGAACAGGTGTTGTTTATGACTGAGGTTGTGGGCCATCACCACTGAAGCCACCAAAGCTGAAGGGGCTTCAGCTGGTCTCTTCTCCTCCTGGCCTTAGAGCCCTTGCCACTACCTGCTCTGTAAAAGATAACCTGAAGGAAGAAGAAATAAGGTTGATGGGACAATCTTTGCAGAAGCCCAGTTAGTTGGACTTTTTTTCCCCCAGAGGACCACCAATAGCCCTGTAGGAAGGAGTCTAGAAATGTGTTGTTTGTTTTAAATAATATTTAATGAATTATTATTTTATTGTTTTTATTGCTTGCAAATCACCTCAGGAGAATTTTTCAAGTAAACAAATATTTTCAGAAATGCAACTTAAGATGATCCTTTCACTCTCCCTCTTTTTCACGTTCGCAACAGGCAAAGAATTCCCGAACTCCTTTGAGTCCCTAGTGAAGAAGATCTGCAAGTATCTGTTCCATGTGCTAGCCCACATCTATTCATCACACTTCAAGGAAACCCTGGCACTGGAATTGCATGGACATTTGAACACACTCTACGTACACTTCATCCTTTTCATCCGGGAGTTTAATCTGGTGGACCCTAAAGAAACAACCATCATGGATGACCTCACAGAGATCCTCTGCAGCAGCAGCGGGAACAGTAGCAGTAATGGAAGTGGCAATGGCAGTGGTGGTGGCGGCAGCAGCAGCAGTAGTAGTGCAGTAGCACAGAACCATGTGAAGGAGAGATGAGTCTTCCTAACCAGAGCAAAATCAACGCTAACACTTAAAAAAAAAAGGAAAATGCTCTCTATTCTCGGATGTATGCATATGTATATGTGCTTATGTGTGTATATATATACATATATACAGACATACACAACCAAGAAAGCTTAAGCAATTATGCTGCCACCACAGGACATGTAGACACAAAGGACTATATGGAGTTTTGGTTAAATGCATCATCCTTGGCAAGACGTTGCACCAGTTTTGTGGGGATTTTTTTTCCTTCCCTCCATTTTTCTCCTGTTTCTTCCTTATCTGATGGATTATGAGTGCTGTTTTTAAGAGACGAACCACATTTTTTGAGTTGGGCTACTGCTTTTGTATTCCTTTCTTTTTTTTCATTCTGCCCACTTCCTCTTGGGAAGTGGTCCTTGTCCTTGAATGCAAGCTCCCTTTTATCTGGCTCACTTCCTCTCTAAGATGGTGGTACTACCATTTTTTTTTTTAAAAAAAAGTTGTAAACCGTAACTTAACATGTAAAGTGGCTTACATGGGGGGCACATTGAGACTTGTCTTTGTTTTTACTTCAGTTGATCCTTTTTCTTCCCTTCCCTCAGACCTTTTCCATCTAACCCTTCATTGGGTTGTAACGGGGAGGAAAATTGTTTTGGCCCAACTAAAGTAGCAATAAGGCTTCCAGTGCATTTAAGGGAGGTGGTTCCCTGATCTCCCTGGGGTCAGAGTGTGGATCTTGAAAGTGCCCACAAAAGTTCTGGTATTTTTAGAGAGAAATTCCAGAAGATATACTAGCCAGGGGAGGAATCCACCCTGTGGTAAAAGCCATGACTGCTTCTTCTTCGCCAAAGGGGGCCTGAGACAGGATGGGAAGGGGGCACACAGTCTGCCACCACTATGCTAAGAGAGACGGCTGTTGGCATATAATTATGTTGTTGGCTTATTTTAGTTCATCTGTCCAATAATAATAATAATAAAAAATTCTATCAGATGCAAGTTGAATTTTTTTCGCTGCATTAGCAGGCATTATTTGTATTTCTTTGCATGTAAAGTTAAAGGTTCGTCAGTCATACCGTGGGAAGTTGCTTATGGCTTTATTTGGGATTTTTTTCCCAATTTGCATTTTATTTTCTTAAAATATGGTATTAAGCATGAGGGTATTAAGCCTGACATTTTCCATTCAAGTTACATGTCCTTCTGATAAATATTTGGCATTTCTTCTTTTAGCATTTCATTCTAAACGAACTCAGCTATTTTCTGATCAGATCAAGAAAAGATTTCCTGCATAGTTCAAGTACAATTTTCAGGGATAACGTGCTCTAATTGCTGTGAGAATCAGTATTCTGTTCATATTAGGTTGTGCTCAAGAACTAATTTACATTCCCTTATGTTATGATTTTTATTTCAAAAATGGGGTATTAATATGGGGCAAGGAGAAGATTAAAGTATCTTAGCTGAAACTATTTTTCTTCTTAGATGTGTTCTTTATAAAAACTCAAATATAAAGGTAAAGGTTTTCCCTATCCAGTCAAGTCCAACTCTAGGGGGCACTGCTCATCTCTGTTTCCTAGCCGAGGGAGCCAGCATTATCTGAAGACACTTCATGGTCATGATTATAGGCTGAGGGAACACTATTACCTTCCTACCAAAGAGGTATCTATTTACTCACATACGCATGCTTCTGAATGGCTAGGTGGGCAGGAGCTGGGTCAGGAAAGGGAGCTCACCCCATTGTGTAGTACTTGGGGCTTGAACTGCTATCCTTTCAGTCAACAAGCCCAGCATCTTAACCACTAGGCCGCTGCGCCCCTTCAAATATTTTGCTGGACTAAACCCTAGCACAGTGTTCAAAAGAAGTCTTACCTGTAGGAAATACTGGTGGCAATGATCCTTATTGTGCCTTTACTTTAAAAAAAAAAAACCACTTCAGGGTATTAATGATCAGTTAAGACAAACAAAAGTGAAACTTTCAAATGATATGATACAAGGCAGCTGATAAAATAGTAATTTCTTTCAAAAAGAAAACCTTTTGTATTAAAAGGCCTTAAGGCAAGAACAAAACAAGCCTCTTAAGAATCCAGATGCAGCCATGGAAAAGTAATGTTCACCTTTTTGATCCTTATCACCGGAAGTCTGCTTCAGTTATGGATAAAATCCCTTCTGTACAAACCGGGTTTTCCCAAATTGTATTCCCATGTCTGATGAGCTAGAACACTACTACCCATAACATTGTTACACAGATGCCTTAAGACTGCTCAACTTTGGCACCGGGTGAGTGAGATATTTGAAAGAAAGCTATCTTAGTGGTTCGGGCATTAAATATTCTATTGGACAAACTGCATTTTAATTTATTTAATTGAATAACATAGTTTGACGGGATTTTGGAGGTCTTCTCGTCCAACCCTAAATCATTTCAATTTAGGCACCGTCTGATTCCAAACTTACTCTGGGTGATGTAATAAAATATAAAAATACAATATAATAATAAAGCATTAAAAAAAAAGAATGAAGAAGTGCAGATGAGACGAAGCTGGCCCTATACGCTAATACAAAGCCTGCCAGGACATGCCAAGCTCCAGGGCTTTCTGAAATGCTGTCAGGGTAGGAGCCACACAGATATAAGGCATCTGATTCCAGAGGGCCCATTATTTCTTCATACAGTCAACAAGCTGTGGGACAATTGGTGCCTATGAAGGCAAATCCATATTCCATACTGTCTTTGCACCCAAAGCAGATCATTTTCTCTATTTCTCCAATAACTAATAGGAACCCCCTCCCCCCTCCCAAGAAACCATCAGTACAAGTGGCTATCTGCTCTCTTGCAAGTAAATCACTTCCTGAAAGTGCCCATACAACAGCAGAGGGAGTAGCCCCTGTTCTGTTAAAAGGCACAATTATGAAAAATGACTTGACAAGGCAGTTTCTGATGTGACCCAAAAGACACAGAAAATGGAAAGAACAAGTAGCACTTCACCTTCTTTACTGTCCCCAAATGATTGGATGGAACTCTGGCTTATCCTATCATAGGGAGAAACAGGCAGTAACTGGCTTATCCTATCATAGGGAAAAATGGAGTAATTCTGGCTTATCCTATCATAGGGAGAAACAGGCAGTAACTCTGGCTTATCCTATCATAGGGAGAAACAGGCAGTAACTGGCTTATCCTATCATAGGGAGAAACGGAGTAACTCTTGCTTATCCTATCATAGGGAGAAACGGAGTAACTCTGGCTTATCCTATCATAGGGAGAAACAGGCAGTAACTGTAACAGGCAGAAGGAATAACCTCAAAGAACAGGAGGAAGCGCTGCAAGCAAGCTAAGAGAAACCTAAGTCTGGGGCAGGAATGAAACCTGAGAAAATACCTCATACCTAGTTCATAGGGAGATAAAGGGAAGAAGGCAGAAGCACAAATAGACTTGTGAGAGTCTGTTACTATAATCTAATAATAGTATTTGCATGCATGACTTGGGTTTCCTTTTCTTGTCTACATTAAACGCCTGATCTTCCCTCATCCAATAGCATTGCTGGCTGTGGAATTCTGGGAGTTGAAGTCCACATGCCTTAAAATTGTCAAGGTTGAGAAACACTGCCGGAGTCTAGCTAGAAGACAAGACTTATTCCTATCCTGTGGAGGAAAACCCCTCTCTTTAGTCTTGTATTCTGTCTCTACAAAAAAAAAGCAGCATCAGGGTGAAAAATTAAGATGACTTCTAGATAACTGTGCACCAACTGATCAGTATAGGCTGACAATAGGCTGCAGACTCAGTCAGCAGCTGCAAAATCTAAACTGGACAAGAAAATGAAAACCTCTAGAAGCAACCAGACTTGAAGTAGTAAATGGTAAGACTAAAGGTGACTTAGAGAGGCCTCTTTTACAACAAATAAAGTACAGGTAGTCCTTGTTTATGACTGCCTTGAACAATGACTGCAATTATGATGGTGATGAAAACATAATTTTGTGGCCAATGCCTGCATTTATGACCTTTGCAGCATCTCTCTCTTAAAACATATTGTCCTGTACCTGAGTCATTTTTACTCCCTTCCCCCTCACAGAGTGGAGATATTTCTTAAAAAGCTATTTGTTCCTGAGTTGCTTTTCTCCACAATACATCTCTAAAAAGGGCATGTTAATGAGCTCAGCTCTGTGACCTTAATTAATTAGGACAGCGGGGCTTGCAGCTGCTGCCCAAAATCACAAAAGACAAGAACCTAATTGATTTCACACTAAAGGCTTTTGTTTGCCTCCTAAGGATTCATGGTTTGCAGCCTGAAGTATATTAGGCAAACTGTTGGTGCTAATACATTGCTTTCAATGTGTATTCCCCATTGCGTGCTTGTTCACTCTCTTGTACTCCCTTCCTCTCCAAGGAATGTAAATATGAATATCAATTCTCTTCTTGCTAATTATCCCAGCAGTCCAAAGGATGGCAGAATGGAGGAAAGGGGCTCTAAGCTTTGCCTTTTGTCTGGCATAAGCACAATTGCGGCTATATGATGTTCATCTTGTAACCACTTTGTTTAATGACCAGGATGCTGGAATCAATTGTGGTCACTAAATGAGGACTAACTTGACCAGTTAGCACCCAAAACATCAACTCCTGATGTTAGAGGAAACCTAACACAAAAGCATCCGACCTAGGTCAACAAGAACAAGGATGTCAGGTCTCCCTCTGTGCATTGACATAATAATGAGGGGAAGCCAGAAAATACTGGATGCATTCCATGATAGGGTTGAGCACCAACAGAAGAACAAAGGAAGTGCAAACCTACCTAGTAATAGGATAGGGCCTGATTAGGGAGTCCCAGGCCAACCTACTCTCCCTGTCCTCCCAAAGACGTGTTATGGTACTATAGGTAATGCTTTATCAACTTATGGGGAATACAGACAGCTCCATTTTAACAGGAAGAGAACAGAAACTATCGTCTTCACTTTCAGAAGATCATCTTGTATATCCTATTCCCCGTTTTCTTTTGTTTTTTTTGTCTATTTGCAATCCTTACAAAAGAAAATTATTGGATAGAAATTTATTGGACAGTAGCATGATAGAAAAGCAAATTTATACAGAAGAAGCCTTCTTGCACCACCTGTACATCAGAAAGCAGAACAAATATATCAGGCTCTGAGCCTTCAGGTTAGAAATTGTTAGATGGACCAGGCCAGGAGATCAGCTCCACAGGAAAGCTAAAATTACTTGTGTTGAGACTGACTATCAGAATAGAATCTTGAAAATCGGCTCATGTTGTCCCCCTTCTAATAGTTCAGTGAATTATGGAGGTGGCCTTCCTTGGAAGCTTTGAAATATTATCTCATCCTGGACTTAAAAAATATTTTGCCTAGGGAACAGTGCCTGCATATTTCCATCAAAATTGTCTTTCTTACTCTCTACAGAGCCATCATATCAGATGATTATTTTTATTTGTTAAATTTATTTGCTGCCTATCTTGCCGTGCAGTTAGAATTAATTCTTAATCATTCCCTTGCAATAATTTTGCACATCCCATTCAGACTTTTTACTGGAAGCTGTTCAAGTTCATGTACGAGAGCGACCAGTTTCAATTGAAACCACTCCTTTTCAGATTGCCTGCAGTATCCACAGTACAGTATTAACAAGATGCTGGCCTGCTGAACCACTTAAGAACAAAAGATGCCTGCATTTTTGCCTATCTGGACAACCTGCATTGAGCAGCCTCAGACACTTGGGATGGTCACCATCAACATGGAATAAACCAAACTCTTCTCTTTCAGGAGCATATCCTCAAACTTCAAGAGGCAAGAAAGAAATCCTAGCATCCAGGAGACCAACCATTATAAAACTGGCAAGATTACAGGGTATGATATAAATCAGATGAATAAGCAAGCAAACTGCATTAGGCTCAGCTCAATGGGCCTGTTTCCACTTCAGCCCATTAGAGTGGCCCCTTCCATTTCAGAATTAGATTGAAAGCAGAATGTCAAAATAATCTGTCCCGTGGAAGATTATTTTGACTAACGAAGCACTT